TGTTAAATTAACAAAGATTTCTGTAGTGTATTAAGCCGGCGGTTGAGCATGCGCACTAATGCGCGTGTTTGTATCATGTGCTTTGAGCCGAATACATGAAACGTGGGCGAGGATGTGTAAAATGATTAGTTTAACGAAACTACCTCGTCCTTTCAGTGCCCCAAATAGACCAAAAATTGAGCTTTGCTTCGCGCTGGAGTGTGCTTTTTTGCTGCCAAATTACCCCTACGATAACAGCAGTTCAGTCTTGAAACACTTAGAACACTGTAAGAGTTATTTTTCAAAAAAGTGTAGTAAATTAACAGAGTATTGATGGAAGCAGCGACTTTAGGTTTGAGGTAATTTGCTTTTGCAAATTTTTTCCAGTTCGTTTGAAGCGAACGACTATGACAATCACTAGCCAACACTACCGCTGCCACTGCCTCATGGCGGGCCCCACATTTACATTTTTTTCTAAAGTCCGAAGAATGTTGACTAATTCATGGCCCCGAAATGTTCCCAAAAAGTTAATATTGTTTTGACCAAGCTGCCGATACCATCCTTACCTTTTTTTTCTCTTTAGGGTTAAGAATGTCTGTGCTTTTAATTGCCCTTTTGTCAGTCTTTGGCAAATGTCTTCAACTTATTCCAGCAAGTGATAACAAGATGCGGACCATCTTTATAAATGTGGGTCAGTTCATTATCATGGCTGGTGGAACTGTGGCCCTTAGTGCCCCTCCTCTAGTCTCTGCAACATGGTTTCCGCCCAGTGAACGCACCACAGCTACTGCTATTTCGGCTTTGGCAGGATCCTTTGGAATTTCTGTAGCATTTGTTGTTGGTCCTGCAATGGTTCGTAACAAAGTTCCAGAATCTATCATCGGCAATTCATCAAATTCGGAAAAAATGCAAAATTTAGTGGAAATAATGAACCACCGAATAACACAGTATTCATTTTTTCAAGTAGGTTTGTGTATAGCGACGTTTATCTGCATCTTGCTGTACTTTCCCGCAAGACCACCCCTCCCTCCGAGCCTCACTGCCTCTAGACCTCACACACAGAGCACAGCAGCTTCATTTAGACAAGTCATGAGGAACGGCAAGTTCTTGTTGCTGAGTGCACTAGCTGCTTTAGACTTTGGTGTTTACTTTAGCTGGTTGTCCGTGTTAGATGTCTTCTTGGCCAAGTTTGATGTGGATCCTACTACCGCTGGATGGCTTGGCTGTGGTGCTACATCATCGGGTTTTGTCTCTGGAATTTTGTTGGCAAGGTACGCAGCAATTATTCACCTTGTTGAACCACATATTCAGTAGTAGTTGAATGTGCATTTCAAGCCTTCCATTTTAGGACACCGAAATTTCTATTTTTCTCGGGGAAGCATGACCTCAGGCCCCCTAGTATTGCTAGTATGCTCACCGGTTTCTCGCGCACTCTCGAACTGCTCCTAACATATAGGGACAGCAGGATTGCAGGCTACCTTGCTCCGCGATTCCCGTTTGTGTTGTCGGTAGATATATATTTTAATGTCGAACAATGACTTTGATTCATGATTTGCGCGGGATCTAGCGAAAACTTTTTTTGAAAAATAATAGTTTGATGCAAACCTTAACGAATAAATGTTCCAGACTCTGGAACGGGGTCCAAGCTATTTTGCCATGGGGTGAGAAAATGGCTTCTACACAGAATTTCCTTTACCCTGCGAACGCAGTCGTATTTCTGATCGTCGCTTCTCTCCACCCGAAAACTTACTTTTCTGTTGGAGAGAAGCGACGACCGGATATACATCTGATTTCGCGATCGCAGGCTAAATTTCCTTTGGCTTTTCACGCGTTCCTCCATAGCACGAAATTTACCTGAATTCAAAAATTGGCGCCTGAGCTACCAAATTGAATGAAACATGGAAATATAAACCACTCATGCAAACTGTTGAAAGAAAGTATTGATAACACAACAATACAAAAGGAAGTAAGGATAAACAAACTTGAAGAAAGATTGAAACGGGTGTTGCAATAATTTGTTTTTGCTGTTTTTGTTAGCCTAACAGTTTGTCAAAGTTCGTTTTTGTTGTATGTAGCCTTTGATGCTTGGGAGCCGGGCATATTCTTCGACACGAAACTGTTCCATAGCGAATAAGGATGCGCACCTGGCATTATAAACAAACTGAATTAGCCAGCCGTGATACTGCCCCTTTAATTTTTAGTTGACCCTTTTTACTCCCAGATCAAATGATGGGGTCTTGTAAGGTGGTTGTGGCAACATTTTTGAGTCTGTGGATGAAATCCTATAGTTAGCCTGCGTTGCTGCCGGCCCACCCATCGTGTAGGCCATTATTATAGTATAGCTCTATACAGGAGGTTTAAAGTGTCTGAGACGTAGGCTATCCTATGGTGCCACGATTCAAATGAAACATGATAGCTTGCGAAAACAGCCGTCTTTCCTCGCTCCTTGCAACTTGGGATGTTTCGCCGGAAGGGACGTCTGCGCCTCTGCGACAGAAATTCCATACTGATGACGTAACATCTATCCGGAATCTGCCTAGGAGTTCTGATTGGTCGACACAGTAGTTATATTGTTTTAGCTATTGTTTACGAACGACAGACAAAATGCAAACGGTCATATGGGTCAAATGTAAACGCAATGGATCTACTACAATACAGTCCTTTTTCGTGGAATATATTCTTCTTTGGCAGAGGCATTTGAGTTTTGCTGGAGCTCGTTCGCCGAAGAAAACCAAACTTTACCATAATCGACTAGGGCCCTTTGACTACCGGATTTATTATGCAAACACTGATTTACGTCATCAGTATGGTATTTCTGTCGGTAATGCGTGGACTTCCCCTCTGGCGAAACGTCCCTAGCGAAAGGAGCGAAGAGGGACGGCTATTTTTGCAGGCTAGAGACATGAACGTTTTGTCCCTATCTCTTTAAGGCATGCAGACCGTTTAAAAAAAACAAAACAAAACAGATGTTAACACTTCTCTTGGCTCTCTCAACATTATCCTTGCTGATCTTCAGTTTGTCCTGTGCTGGAATTCTACCATCCACCAAACCACTACTATTCAGCTCCATCATCTCTGCAGGTTTGCTTTTTAACAGTGCCATGCCACTATTTATTGAACTTACAATGGAGTGTGCATATCCAGTAGGAGAGGGACTCGCTAGTAGCCTTAACATGACCATGACAAATCTAATCGGATTGTTTTTCTACATCCCCTTTATGCTGCCGCACTCTGATGTAAGGTGGATGAACTGGGTGACCGTTTGCAGTCTGGGTGCTAGTGTCTTAGGGTTGCTCATTTACAGAGAAAAGTACACACGGCTTGAGATAGATGAACGAGATGATGTTGATGAAAGAGCTCTTCGAAATTCTTGTGAAAAGCATTTAGTTGAAACTGGATTTGATTAACTGGCGCAATCTTCAAGTATATCTTATGACCCGCATTACCAGTCAGTGTTAAGTCACTTTTCAGAGACCCTAGAGAGCTAAAGCGACGGGAACGAGAACGGCAAAAATGCAATTGGTTAATTTAGATTAGCATAACAGCAACTTTGCACGTGCTCCACGCTTTTTGCATATTTCTTCTTTGCAGTCGTTGTACAACTAGGACGTGAAATTGTCTATTTTCATGTTCTGTAGAGGACGTGAAAACGAGACAAGGATTCTACCTTTCGTATTCTGAACTTAGATAGAGTCTCTTGGAATTCAACTCCAGAAAAAGTCGCCAACATTTGACAAATTGAACGAGATGGAATAATAAGTTTGCAACAGCGCGAAGTCACTTACTAAAGGGACGTTTTCGCAGCCGTATCCGAGGACGGCGACAGCGGCGAAAACGACGCTTTACAAAAATCAATTCGCGTTCTTTCATCTTCATCGCAATTATTCCAACTCACTTTCTTAGTCAAACGCAGACGAGTTCTTCTGGAGTTGAATTCTTAGAAACCACGTCCAAGTTCAGAAAGAGACAAAAAATTTCGTCGTCGCTTGCTTGCGTCCTCCATTAGACGGAAATTAGGTATTTTTTCAGCGTAGTCTTTCTCTTTCAAGAAACCCACTTCCTTAAAAAATGAAGATTCTTGTGCAGTGACAGCAAAGAAATGTACAAAAAAGTATGATAAACGTGCAGAGTTGTTGTTTTGCTTATTAGTTAAACCTGTAATATCTTAACGTTCTCCTTGAAGTTGAACTTCCATAAAGCGGCCACTCGGGGTACCGGTAAGTGGCCGCTTAATAGAGGTTGGTCGCTCAACAGAGTTTCGTCATAAACCGGGTAATAAATTAACATTAGAGCGATTTTCGTATGACCTAGAAATAAAAAACGCGCGCACAGAACAGAAACAATAAACGAACCGAAATTGATTGGTTTATTGAATGAATACAAACGCGCGTGGCTTTTGGTTGGTTGGGCGAACGCACGGGTGAAAAAACTTCACGTCCGAGAACTTTCTGGAAATCAACCGATACTTCGCTTTGACGTCATACTGCAACACGGTTGGCCAATCGAACAATGCCATCTCCATATAAGGGTTTCTTTGGCGGGAAAACGAAGAGTCCATGTTTTGATCTTTTCATCTATTGGCTGATAAAACAAATAACGAACACTTACCGAAACCATTTTTCAAGGTTATACGAAAATCGCTGTATCTTTAACAGAAACAGCTCTTTATTTTAAACTGAACAAACACGCGACGGGGGCAGTATTCATGGTCCAGAATTGGTCGTCATCTTCTATCTCGGACTGTTTTCTTTATCATACTCTTAAAATAAAGCCAAAGTAAGTGTATCAGACGTTTGATGGCCGCAAAATTTTATATAGATCTTTTATTTTTATCTACTTGGATGGGTAATCAATCTTTCAATCTTTCTTTGTTTCACACTATACGGGACATTTACACAAGTGTAACTAAGTAGGACAACAAAGTAGCTGATAATAATCATTAAGCTAAAGTGAACAGTGTCCAAAGTAGCCTTGTTGGACACTGTCATGTTCAAATAGTCGGCAGAAGCAAGAGAGGAAATAAAATCTCAAATAATAACCGTGATAGAACAAATTTTCCGTAAGTCATCGATATTCAGATAACTTTTCGTATCCATCACTACAAATTAACTCGAAAACTGAGTGGTTACGACAGTTTCAACTCACTTTCATGATCACTACCAATTCGCCATGCTGCCGCCATTACAGTTGTTACCAGTCGTAAATAAAGTTTCTTGTTGTCAGTAACTCAATCACAGTGAGCGAAAGCTAATAACTTACATTTTAGCTCCTTAACCATCATGAGTAAAACCTTGATCATGAGATCATCGCAGCGGAGATAATGTATGAAACAAAACTGTGAGTGATGCTATTACTTCAATCAGAAACATAAAGCTCTGACTTGCCAGAGATTCCTGGTTTATAGTTTGGATGAATGTTTCTACATGTGTCACTCTCAATACCAAAGTGCATTCCGACAAAGTGTATCCAAGTTTGAGATGTTTGTATGGTGGATTCTCACAACAGCAGTTGTGTCTCGTCACGCAACNTCACTTTCATGCTCACTACCAATTCGCCATGCTGCCGCCATTACAGTCGTTACCAGTAGTAAATAACGTTTCTTGTTGTCAGTAACTCAATCACAGTGAGCGACAGCTAATAACTTACATTTTAGCTCCTTAACCATCATGAGTAAAACCTTGATCATGAGATCATCGCAGCGGAGATAATGTATGAAAGAAAACTGTGAGTGATGCTATTACTTCAATCAGAAACATAAAACTCTGACTTGCCAGAGATTCCTAGTTTATAGTTTGGATGAATGTTTCTACATGTGTCACTCTCAATACCAAAGTGCATTCCGACAAAGTGTATCCAAGTTTGAGATGTTTGTATGGTGGATTCTCACAACAGCAGTTGTGTCTCGTCACGCAACGCTCCTCCCCAACAGCGTTGCGTGACGAGACAAAAACGGCTGCCGGAAAGGGAGAGTACACAGAACTTGACGTGTCTTGTATAATCTGGCTGCAAGAAGCTGTCTGGAATACAAGAGGGAATTCAACAGAATGGCCAGTGCCAGACTCTACGATAGTAAGACGGGCATGATCTGGGAAGGGCGGTGGGGCGTCTCTCTCTCCAAGCCCTGCGCGTTTTTCGCATCAGTTCACTCACGATCTCCTGACTCACGATCTTGGAACCTGGAACATGCTTGAACAAGAACTTAAATTTCTGTCCCATAATAAGGATCATAAGCTGTCAGTGTACCCATAGAAGCTTCTGAAGCAGATATTGACCTCTGTCGTACTAATTGTATTGGTGTATGTGGATTGGCTTCGGAGTATGACACAGTTCTTTTTCGGGGCGATCCTCGTACTGAGCTATCTAAACCTTCATCTTCTTCGTAAAATACTTTCACGGCGTCTCCACTGACATTCAGCAAGCACTGGCCCTACAAATCGGTCAAAGATAATTACACTAATTATATAAAAACTCGTTATGTAATTAACTCTCGTCCCCACCCCAACAACCTACCTCATTACAGGGGACAGTCATCTACCTTAGGCTTCGTTAAAATTGAGAAAACGTGTCCCGGTTAGTAGGGTCACCCTCTCAGACAAGTCAACGTTGGCGAATGTTTTACTGAGAAAAAAGTTGACCCCTTTGACCAAGCCAACACGGCCCGCGCACGCTAACTTTGGCTGGACAAGCCAAAGTATTAACATGAAAGAAAAGTTGGTCTGGCTAGGAGGATGACCCTAGCATGACAAAGGGGTGACCCTGTTAGGCGGGTCACCCTTCTATCTGAGCAAACTTTTTGTTTCACATATAAAAGGTTCGCCACGTTTTGTAAGGAAATGTATGCCATACATTTATATGTGACGCCCAGGGTACCTCAGGTAGGGGGTTGACCTTTCTACTCGGGACGCTTTTTAGTCTCGCTTGTAAAAGCAGCGAGACTATAATCTTCAAGCCGTTTTTCATCGTATTTAGGAAACAAAGGGGCGTCGGGGCCCCAGGCGTTCCTAGCGGAGACCGTGGAAACTGGGAGTAAGAATCGTTGCATGACCGAAGCGTGACCAAAGATTAATAAATGCGCCTTAGAGCTTTTCCGGAACAGGTCGGCCCACGAATTCTATCGCTTGAAAGAGTTGATAACTTTGGAAGAAGTGAACACTTCAGCTGAACACTTCAGTGGTCGAAAAAAAGAAAAATCTTAATTAGCAAAGGCTAACTGGTCGGGTGTTGTAAACTTTTATTGTATGAAAATTAGTCTTGTGATGAGCATGCGGTTTGTTTTCGGCGGTGACTGAAATGAAGCGAGACTTAACGCCGATATTAAGAACGTTCTTGTTATCCATGTATACGGGGCCTAAGGATGCGTTCGATTGACCTTATTCTGGGATAGGAATACACAGAACAATCCGGAATTTCCGTTTGATTGACCTGCTATTCCAATTCCGGAAGAAGAGGAGGAGTACATACAAAACATACTAACGGAATATTGACATCAGTCCTGTGCTTCGCGGGAGGTGTTTACAACAGCAACGGAAATGGCTAACGTCTTCGGTACCTCGGTTAAGCCGCGAAGAAACTCTACCGCATGGTTCCTTACATGAGGAAACCAAGAAAGCTTCTTCAAATTTGTTTTTTAGCAACTGAGATGATTAAGTAGATTGGCCAGCACGGTGGGATTAAGAAGCTGATGTTTCAAGAGTTTGTAGGACACGTCAGCTCCTCTATCCCCCTTCACTGGCCAATCTGGCTTATCTACTCGGTTGAAAAAACTGTTTTATACATTTTACTCCCTTCACGGTGCAAATTTTGTTGTTGCAGTTTCAGTAACAAGTTGTTGTTTCCGGGGTGGGGTTGTTAGCCCACAACCTGGAGGACTAGGTGCTGCTTTTAGTCTTTCCTCTTCCCCGTAAACCTACCCGGCTTGGTAAGGCACGTAAGTTACCCCACCATGAAAATGTAACAGAACACTTTGGAGCTCTTTACGGTGCAACATCACATTTTGTTCGTGGAAAACTAATCCCTTAATAATACAGATAAAAAAGTGACAAAGTTAAACGACCGTACATGATATACAGGTGTCCGTATTTAACGCCTTCAGGAGATCTATAGTTTTCCATCTAGGAACAAATTAAGGAAAGTTTGCCTGTTATGGAGGTATGGACGGTCCAAAGCCGTGAGGGATGCCGCCGGGTTTTCAGAGACAATCATATGCACTATAATTTGATCAGAATTAAACATAACTAACCTGATGTTTATGAGGGTTGTCAAGTAGAACTATCTCATTTAACTGGTACGACACCAAGGCATTCCCTCCGATAGCCAACACATGGGCTCTTAATATTGCTTGAGCCTCAGCTACAAAGGCTTGCATAAAGACATTCAAACCGCCATTCTAAAAGAAAAACAGGTGACGAAACTGGTCAGTAATAAGACTATGGCGTGACCATTCAATGAAAAAAAATAAACTTCTTTGCTTCTCCTCTGTAGGCTCGAATTGCCACACGTTTGGCAATAATCTTGCACGTGCAGTGGAGTCAAGTTTTTGCCGCGTTTTTCGTTTTACTCACTGATATTGTATGGAGTATGGAGTGAAAACAGACACGCAAGGATACAGAAAATAGTTTTTTAATGTCACTATCTTTAAATTTTTTTCTCAAAATAACGAGCTTTTTTTTGTCAAAAAATAACTTTGCACCCGAGGCCCATTTATCACAGTAAATGGCGCCGACAATTGCGCAGTTTCAGCTTTCAGACGCTCAGAAGTTCTTTTTAGCAGCAGTTTAATTAATTGCTAGTGTGCTGGTAATCAAGTCTACACAGTGAAAATAACAACGTTTGCTCTAAAGCAGTAGACCACGAGTAGTCCCCATTTTTCCTCAGGGAGACTAGAGCGAACGAAATGCGAGTGCGCGTGAAAATTTCCCCACGCGAGAAAGGCGAGCCTTGACTTTCTCGCGTGGGGTGATTTTCACGCGCGGTCGCGTTTCGCTCGCTCTACTATCCCTGAGGAAAAATAGGGACTTCTCGTAGTCTACTAAAGCAGTTTACATGGCTTTTGTAAACTTCTCTCGTTCGGCCGCGGTAAAAAATACACGAAGGCAAATCTAAAATTTTCGTTACCTCGCGCACAGTGTGGCTTTCCCGTATTAAAAACAAGTTGATGTTGCCGAGGTATTGCTCAATCTGTGTGTTGGGTAAATACGACATTGATGTTACTTCTACAGCAGGGCGATATGGAACCTGTAAAGATAAATATTGATGAACTCGGGTTATACGTTTTAGCCTGCGAAGCAGTAGCCTCCCACGTAGGCGTTTTTAGGGGAGCTCGTTTTTCATCCCTTCCCGCATGATCATGGGGAGGGATGAAAAACGAGCTCCCCTAAAAACGCCTGCGAAGAGGCTAGAGAAACAGGCGCATGAAAAAACAATGATTTGTGGGGGTGAGGACAAGGGGATTCAGACCTCCAGCCTCCCTAATAACCCTAATATCAAAATTGAGATTCTCATTTGTTGTCCCTATACGTTTCCTATAGTAGTGGTGGAGAGAAGGTGTTGAAAATTCGGTTAGATTCACCAACCTGCTTCAGGTGAGGTTACACACTGTTTTTTTAGCGCAACACAGTGTTGCAATATTGGAACCATTCGCAACAATGTTGCAACAATGTTGCAACTATAGTGTTGCGATAAAAATCGCCCTTGCAAATCGCCCCGTGTACCATCACCTTAAAGCATTGATATTACATGGACCAATTTGATGATGATCATTCTTAGGACTGACAGCGTTAAGAAAAAACGATCCAGATAAGTAAAGCAGCAGAAAATTAACTTCCTGTATGATCTGCGTAATTACTAACCTTTACTTTTGTTTTCAGAGTAAGAGGATGAGCGAGACGTCTTTTAGTTTTTGAATCTATAAAACAAACATGAGGAGAGTATAAATAAGGCTTAGGGCTGATGCAAAGAATAAACATGATAACAGAGGAAAACAAGTCCTTAAACAAACACAGTCACATTACCCAACTCGTTCTTCATATTTTCCACAGCTGAAGTTTCAACCACCTCTTCAATGGGAAAAAGTAAATCATCAGACTCGGCGCCATTATCGGAGTTCTGAGAAGTACGCGAATGAGCTTAAAGGCAATCAGAAAAGTGCTATCAAGCAGTTATGCCTGTTATGGTTTCAAGTATAACGATAGATGAGCCAAATCAAAACCCTACCCCACCACTCGGCCATATACCCCATTGAAACTTTTTACTGCTCGACCAAGTTACGGTGAGATGGTTTGGCGTCACTGTAACTTTCGAATCTCCAAGCCAAATTCTATGGTGGTGTTAAGTTTCTATACAATGAAATTTCCCGCACTGTTCTTGAGGAAAACCCAGTTCATAAAACCAAGTTACGCACAAAAACGGGTGTTTCTTCGTGTTGCGGATATGGAAGTTAATATCTTAGGTGACGAATTACTTCTTAATTTTGACGTGTTAATTTATAACCTCACGTGTAAAATTACAAAATTGCCATGGTAACCTTCTGTACGTCTCAGTGCCAAGATGGAGACGAAGTTTTAAAATGTTATGAATGAAGATGTCAGGGCATTAAAAGAGGCTTTAAAAAACCACAACACACAAGAGAGCTCATCAAAAAGGATTCTAACAGTAATATCATAGGTGACGAATTACTCCTTAATTTTGGCGCGAAATTTCAGCGTTAATTTGTAATTTCACATGTGAAATTACAAAAGTGCCATGGCAACCTTCCGTACGTCTCAGTGTCAAGATGGCGACGAAGTTTTAAAATGTCATGAATGAAGATGTCAGGGCACAAAAAGACGCTTTAGAAAACCTGAACACACGGAAGAGCACATCAAGAAGGATTCTAACAAGTATTTTGTCGAAAAACTCTGAACTTAAGCCAAATTTAAGCTCTAAACGTTCGAGAGAGTGCAGGAGTTCTCGATCGATACGATGCAGGATAAACATGTCAAAAATCCAAGACTGCTAACGTAATTCGTCACTCATGATATTATTAGGTAATCAAATGGTATACTCGTGAAATTAGGGAATAGTTTCACTTGCGTTTTGTCCAAATCCTAATAATTTCCCGAGCCTTTATTCACTCGTCACCATATGATTACACATACGTATTTTGTCGAAAATTCTGAAAATTCTCAACTTGAACAAAATTTAAGCTCTAAACGTTTGAGAGAGTGGAGTTCTCGATCGACACGATCCAGGATAAACATGTCAAAAATCCTGGATTGCTAACGTAATTCGTCCCCCATGATATTAATAGATAATCAAATGGTATACTTTTGAAATTAGCGAATTATTTCACTCGTCACCATTTGATTACACATACTAATTCGCTTTTGTTTTGTGGTGTGGTTATTGTTCAGCGTCTCTTCAGTGTTTTCTATTACGTCATTTGGTGATTGCATACGTCCGCAACAGCAAGAAACTACCTAAAAATACAAAATATCTTGAATGAGGTATGTAGAATTCCTCAGCCCCCCACCCCACCCGAGTGGATGACATCCTGGTTTATTACGAAGTTACTAAGTTTAATACTTTCACTATGAGTAGCAGACTACTTACATCTGTCGCAAAGAGATCTTTTCTGCTTGGATGTGTTTTCTTCTTCTGTTTCTTTGTCCTCCACACACACTGCCACACCCGTCACAGCCACCTACTCCACAATGATTGCAAAATAACAAAGGAAGTATATGTTATTGATCGCGTACTACTATAATGAAGATTGTTGGCAAAAGTCAAAAGGCTAAATTAGCTTCAGTTGCGTTCCATTGGTTGACACTGAACGTGATTAAGAGACAGCCATTATTCCTACGCGGAAAGCTCAATAAGCTTACTTCATCCAGTTTCTAAAGCAAATAAAACAAACGAGGAACTTCTTATTTGCGTACCTGAATGTTATCATCCTCTGGGATCTCAATATCAAAATGGATATTTGAAAGACAGCAGGGTGACATGTTACGCAGTTTGAACCACAAACTCTGAAAAACATTGAAAATGTTGGGATCATGGTCAAAAAAAGATAATCTAAGCGATTAGACTTGGCCTACCGCAAGTCTAAACTAACGGTACTGTCACATAAATTGTCCTGTCTCGAATTTCAGAATTTACAGCAATTTCAACATATTTACAAATGAGGAAACACTTACAAAGCTAAGATAAGCAATCAGACTTAGCAGCGCAAACGTAAACTCAATGTACCGTCACATGAATTGCCCTGTCCCCAATTTTAAAATTTAAAGCAATCTCAATATATTTACAAATGAGGAAACACTTACATAGCGAATTTGACTATTTCCCAGGTCCCTTTATCGACCATTTGAGGTTGAGCGTGAAACTGGGTCGGCAATGCGTCGAATTGCATTATGGGACTGTTTTGGGAACGCTATCACTTATTTTATTGGCTGTTACGAAATTGCGCAGTACACTCGGTTCAAATTTGCCCGCCAAATCATACCCATAGTCATATTCCGTGGTCTTAATTAGTATGTGTAATTAAATGGTGACGAGTGAAATTAGGGAATAATTTCACTAGTATACCATTTGATTACCTATTAACCCATTCGCCCCTGAACCGCCCGTAACCGCCCGCGCGGATCCACGTCCTTTCTACCCTTTGTGACGTCATCAGTTTTAACGGTCAAGGACAACTTTGTCCGCTTACTTGTGCAGGGTTAAGAGATCTTTCAAACCATACCAGAATGAGCACAATTCAGTGAAGGACACCGGAGAAAGAGGCAAAAAACCATGTAACATTGACCTGAAAATCTTGTTCCATTGCTCACCTACCTTTCCTTTCACCTAATCCTAAGATCCTAAAAACTTTCCTAAAAACTGCTTCCACCAAAATGAAGCCTACTAAATGCCCAGCAAGAGGAAAAAAAAATGAAGCAAGAAAAGCGAAAAAAGAGAGGAGGAGAGAAAGCGAAAAGTAAAAGTCAAGAATTTTGCTCTCGGCGCATGCCCAAACTTCGCAAGCTGATATTTTGCATCTGGATCAGAAGGCCGTGAAGTGTACGACCTGTAAACCGGTTGGTGGTAAGTTTTAGCTCTTTATAGCAAAACAATGACCAGTAAACTACTCGACTAGCTTCAAAACACGTTTTTCGGCAAAATCTCCAGGAGCGAATGGGTTAATATCATGGGTAACGAATTACGTTAGGACTCGAGGATTTTTGACATGTTTATCCGGATCGTATCGATCGAGAACTCCACTCTCTCAAACGTTTAGAGCTTAAATTTGGCTTAAAACTGAGAATTTTCAGAATTTTTCGACAAAGTACCCGGTAGAATCCTTCTTGATGTGCTCTTTCATGTGTTTAGTGTTTCTAAAGCATCTTTTAATGCCCTGGCATCTTCATTCATAACATTTTAAAACTTCGTCGCCAGGCAATTTTGTAATTTAACAAGTGAAATTATAAATTATCGCTGAAATTTCGCGCCAAAATTAAGGAGAACTTCGTCACCTATGATATCACACTTTTAATTTCCCTGAGTTTCCTGTGGCAACCATTAACAACACGACAGATTGACACAGAGAGCGTGCTAAAAGCCAAAACCAACTTACCTTAATTGTGTCCTCAAAGAGTTTAGCAAATTGCTGGTTGGTTCGAATGTCTTCATCGCTGAGTGCTTTTCTCTGTACTGCCATTATCATCTTTAAAAACAATTCACATCAAGGAATTATGCCATTTTAAAAAGCCGCTGTCAGCAAAGACATCATTTGAAACTGATTATAGCTAAGAAATGGACAATTCAAATACATTACTTGTGTACCTTAACTCCAGATTTAAGGCTGATTGCACCAGGAAGGGTTTCAGTGTTGCACGAATGAAAACCTTGGGAGAGAAACTTTAATCATTCAAAATTATGCTCCAATGTACACCTTTAATAAACTAAACCTCAAAGCTGACCTTCCGGCGCTGGTTCATCGAGTAAAACAGCTACCACATCTTCGTCTTTCTTGTCATCAACCTACCAAAAAGTTATTCCAGTTAAACTTCTGTCAGTAATATTGGGCCACTTTTGCTGTGCTCAAAAGAACTGCCTCTTTCATTTCATTTTGAGGGAGATAAGAGATACAGGGTACTTTAACAATGCACTGCCGTATTTCCTCGAATACGCCCTCCTTCTCTCCGCCACACTTTCTTATATAGTAGGAACGCGAAATATACCTGTTTTCTATTGTCACTTCATTTATCATTTGAAGCTTCAACTACAGCGGAATCCGTGCATGTAGGAAAACAGTTTCTTTTTTGACCATTCTTCTTTCAATGGTTTCGTTTACATGAACAATGATGCAAGGTTTTTTTTTTCATATGAAGATTTCGCCAAAATCTAGGTTATGAACACGATTATTTTAATTGAAGGAGGTAGGTAGCCCTCTCCTGATCGTAAAATGATAAAACTTCTAACCGTTGATAACTTGTTTCCGACACTTAACGACATGCTCGTTAAAACCCGTAGTAGAATGACGACGGCTATCATAGGCTATCGCGTTTTCCCGCCAAAACGACGCTGGTTCATGCGAGCGCACCACTTCAAATTGATAAAATATCGTCCTCTTACTCGTCCTCGCCTTACAATCTAAACGTCTCTGCACAAAGAGATGTACCTCTACAACATAGGCATCTTTTGGCCCCGTACACAAATCCAGCTCAGCCTTGGGCCCCTCATCCTGATCCACATCAGCAGTGATCATAGCAGGGACATTCTGGGATGGACTTGGCGGGGGTGTGGCCTTAGGGGTACTCTGCGAAAAAGATACACATTGAATACCAGGAAAAAGATGAAAACAACGCTACGATCTAGCAAGAGAATTCAAATGATTCAGGTAATCCTCATTTATTTTGGATCTGAACAGAGCCTTTTTCTCCTGAGTGGCTAGTTAAAAAGGAAAAGAAAAAAAAAAGAAAAATACAGTTATAACCCGCGTATAAGACCCTAAGTTTTTCCATGCTAGGCTAAAAAGGTTCTTGCAAAAATGGTGCTAACTGGAAAATTAGGCTACTCAGATTCTCATTATAAACAAAATCAAGAGAGAATGAGCTACAACCAGTTGCAAAAATGTTGAAACACTCTCACGAAAAAACAACCTGTCTTGCTTCAAATCGCGGCTAGTCACAGGTCTGTGAGATAAAATACTGAGCTCCCTCCTTCCCCCATTCAAAGTTGTTTCTCCAAGTTTTGAGCATGGTCTTGTATTGCTACTTTGAAAAGGGGTGGAGGGAGGGTCACAAGCACAAGATCATGGACAGGCCATTGAAGCCAAAATACAGTACAGTGTCTCAAGTACTTTTGCAACTGGTTGTAGCTCACCCTATCTCTCTTGAAAAAATGAACTAGCCAGACATGGCACAGCCCCTTTAAAGCCTTACCAAATATTTGCTGTTATGAAAAAAAAGAATTTACTTACTATATGGACGGTATCTGCAAGTCTAAAGCTGGCTCTGTTCTTGTTAGTTGTGTCCACTATTTGCCTCTGGATCTCAGCGAGACGCTTATCTTCTTCAGCAGACAAACGCTGTATAAAGAACAGGAAATAATATCATAAATTGTTATATAGCTGGAATTTTTTTTCCAACAGCGCGCGCCCTCTTGGTTATTTCGAAGTAATATGACATCTAACAATGAAACTGTTTCCCGCCAAAATCTCTGAGCGCGCAACATTGCAAAATCTATACCGCGAATGTTGACCGAAGGCCCCCGTTAAAGCGAGATTTAATGAATTTTCAGCTTCAAAATTTGTTTTCCTCATCGATCGCCATAGTTGCGTAGCGCGTTCAACGGGGAAAGTTTCTCGACGAAAGTTTCAGAACAAAATGTTAACAACCCGCAAAATTACAACCTTTAGCACGGCTACAAGAAACAAACACTCGCCGATGAATTTTTAGGGCGGATCTTTCCAATGTATCGTAAATTTTTATTGCTGATACGATACGCGATGCATGACTTTCACTTTCCACACCTTAATTTGCTCACATTGTCTAGTATACAACGCCATTACGCCAAGCTTACATTTTAGATGTCCATGTTCGTTGCACGACTTCTGAAACTTTCTACAGCGTGAAAGTTTCCGTTGCACGGGCCACGCAACTACGTCGATTGATCGTGGGAATTGCTGGCTTGCTGCAGTGCACGCACCTTGCTTTCGCGCCAAACTCCCTTACCGTACGTATTTTAAATACAGCCGTTATGTTTAGTTCGAAATCTCGGTCCGGTTATGTGTTGAATCCTGACTTGTTAATTGAGGTCGATTTTTGCAGGCTGTGTGGGTTTATTTTTACGGATAAGTGAAGAAAAAAAAATAAAGGTGAGTTTGTGAAAATGATTGAAAGTGGTTTGTGTGAAAGTTTTGGAGGGCGATAAACGCGCAGTGTGTGACACGTGTAGGTACTGAGTTGAGAAATCGTGGAAGGGTGGGATGTCTATATAGATATTTTTGTAATCACTAAAACGTTACAAGAAGTGAACGCTCTTAAGGAAATTCCAGGGAGAAGAGACCAAGGAATAGGGACACTTTCCAAAGATCCAACTTCAGCTCTTGATTTCAAGGACCTGGGTCCCTGGCTTACTGAACCGCATAAGAGAACGTGGGTTAATCTTCACTGTGATTAGAATTATGGCTAATATAGTAGAAATGAATTTTTATTAATGGAAATGAATTTTTATACATGGATAAAAGTAATTTCACATAATATGTGATTTTTTGCCAAACTATTTATCTATGATTGACTTGATGTTTCCCCTTACTGACCCCCTCAAACACATCCACAGTGCTATTGTTTTAACTCCCTTGGAATTGAATCTACAAGATTGGACTTATCTTGAAAAAATAATGCTGCAATATTAACAATTTTCCTTAGGTGCATTTGCTTGATATTTCATAACTTCCCTATCATAATTCTCCTCATCTGACAATAATATTCTTCACTGATAATTATTTTTAAATCTTTAAACACCCTCTTCAGAAAGGTAAAATCTTCATTGCATGGTCACCATTCCACACAGTGTCTCTAAATACTTTCCACAGAACATAATTTATTACAATTATCAATTAGTGTTTCCTGTAAAAGACAATCAGAGAATACAAATTCTAGAATACAAGCAGTGAAGATTTGATTCTTGAAATTCCTGTCACAGATCATTTTGATTTTCTTGAAGCAGACTAACAGTCTTTGGCACTGATGTCGCAGCATAAGTGGCTTGGAATGATTCTGCTGTTTTCATTACTGTCATCAAAAAAGGAAGGATTTTTTTCTCTTCTGCAGGTTGTACACTTAATAAAATCTAAAAGAAGAAAGACTTTTAGAATTATGGAAAACAGTAAGAGACAATTTCAGCACAGTTCCCTTTCTACCAGAGAGTGTTGGAAAACAGTTTTTGTATGTTATGTGTAGGTATACCATACCGTACTTTATTTACTTGTGTATACTGTGCACCCAAATATAATGCACACCCCATTTTTCTAGACAGTTTTCAAATAATATACTCAAGTATACTAATTTGTTGGCCACCTAGTAAAACAAACCCTTTGGGACAGAAAGAATCACCAACAAATACCCCAGCATAAATGTTTATTAACAAATTAAAATAAAATAAATATTACAGCTCCCTAGTTAATACATAACTCAAGCAGTATTATAAGTAGACATGTGAACTCCAATAAAAAATTTAAAAAAAATCTCAACAGCTTAAAAATAGAATGGCATCTGTTGTTCTGTATTATGGGGTGTTTTTCCATTTCAGTCACAAGGCTTACTTCATCAGCTTTCAATTGTCAATAAATGGTGACAAAAAAAAACATGATAATTCTTGTGAAGTGTCCGTCAGCTTTTAGACATAAGATTACTGAACACCCTTGAATAAAAGCCAGCTCTACTGTTAAGTATAATAGGGTCCTGAAGGGTGGATATCAATCCCATTGAAACTGTTTAACCCTCAATTGCCATTTTTACATTTTTTCCCATTCTCAGTGACTTAAATCCCATTTTCCCAGAGCAACAACATCCCATTTTACCCCTTCAGAACTCCCCACAATGAATTCAGTGTAGCACCCTTCCTAGTAAACAAATCAGCATACTTACCAATGAACAGCTGTATGTACCTGCAACGGGATTCGTCAGGTAAAACTCCTTAAAGAACATTGCCCTGAATTTCTTGTCCCCCAGTTAATGATTCCGGGCTTCCGTACAACAAAGAAAACGCTCCCTAGCCATTCAATATTTCTCCATCTTTTGTTTTGCTTTCCCCTAAGAAAGCGGCCTGAATTCCTAGTGACCTCGAGTACTTTACCTGGTCCTCAACAATTGACATGAAAGGTGAAATTACTATGACCAATGGATTACTAGGGAATTCATAACCTTTAGCATCTAACGATTTTTAAACCCCCTAGCTTATAGCCAACATTTGGAAGGTTAGACTCTTCTATCAATTGCCCAGAAACATCTCTTCTTTCCACAATCTTCTCAACAATAAATCTTTGCTTCGCTTTGAACTGTACCACAGGAAACAAAGACAAGCCTTCTAATTCTTCAAGCGCTTGCAGGAGGTCTCCCTCGAATCTAAAGTTAACACTACTATCAACTTCGGCAGAATTCGTACGGTCAACTGCTGTAAGCTTTTAAGCTTTAAAGTTTCGAAAGGAGTTTGGAGCGAAAGCAAGAAGAAGGCACTGCAGCTAGCCGGCA